GGTCCTAGCGCCTCTCCCCCTACAGGGCGCTGTGCAAAGGCTGCCGCTGCTTGGAGCTGGACTGCTGGGACGGACCCAACCAGGAGCCCATCATCTACCACGGCTACACCTTCACCTCCAAGATCCTCTTCTGCGACGTGCTCAGGGCCATTCGGGACTACGCCTTCAAGGTGGCCACACCCCTGGGGGGTGAGGAGGGGAAGGCTAGGGGTGGCCAGCCCCTCCTAATCTGCCTTGGACCGCCAGGCGTCCCCCTACCCCGTCATCCTGTCCCTGGAGAACCACTGCAGCCTGGAGCAGCAGCGCGTGATGGCGCGACACCTGAGCACGACTCTGGGCTCCATGCTATTGGACCGGCCGCTGGAAGGGGTCACCACCAGCCTCCCATCCCCTGAGGTGCACAGTGGGCATGGGGGTGCCCAGAGAGGAGGGCAGGGGGACTGGCTGGGAGGCCAGCTGGGTCTTGACCAGCTGCCCCTCCATCCGTAGCAACTGAAGGGGAAGATCTTGCTGAAGGGAAAGAAGCTAGGGGGACTCCTGCCCCCCAGCGGGGAAGGTGGCCCCGAGGCCACTGTCGTGTCAGATGAGGACGAGGCAGCCGAGATGGAGGATGAGGCCGTGAGGAGCCGAGTGCAGCACAAGCCCAAGGTTCGAGGGGAAGCTGTGGGGGGAGGGCATCCCTGGGCCCTCCCCCATCCTCACCCCCCATCGCCGGGTGGGCTGGTTGCCCTGTCTCAATTCTCTGTGGCTGCCACTCAGACCCTCTGCCCCCTCTCTGTGTCTGTCTCCCTCTCTCTGTCTCTCTGTGTCTGGGTTTCTGGCTCTCTCAGTGTCCACCTGCCCCCAACTCTGAATCTAACCCGGGCCTCCCCGTGGCCCCCAGGAGGACAAGCTCAGGCTAGTGAAGGAGCTCTCTGACATGGTCATTTACTGTAAGAGCGTCCACTTCCGGGGCTTCTCCAGCCCTGGCAGCCTGGGGCAGGCTTTCTATGAGATGGCGTCCTTCTCTGAGAACCGCACCCTCCGGCTGCTCCAAGAGTCAGGTGAGCCCCCGCCCTGCACCCTGAGGGTGCTGCCCCTGTCTGACCATCCGGGCTGGGGCAGGGCCAACCTGGCTTCCCCGCGCCCCCGCCTGTGAACAAAGTTAGCATTCCCTGCTGCTACCAGCAGAGCTGGTGGGAGGGACTCAGGCACACCTGAGGCCTCCCTGCCTGACCATCCCGTACCCCCCTCAGGAACCAGCCTTGTCCGCCACAACGTGAATCACCTGAGCAGGATCTACCCTGCTGGGTGGAGAACCGACTCCTCCAACTACAGCCCCGTGGAGATGTGGAATGGGGGCTGCCAGATCGGTATGCACTGGCTGGGGCCGGGAGGAGGCCTGGTTGAGGGCCAGGGACCAGGAGACCGTGGAGACCGGGGCAGGGCCAGATGCAGGAGTGTGTGGGCTCAGGAGCTGGTGACCTCAGTTGGGAACTGTCCCCCTTGTTAGCATCGTAGTCCTTTGAGTTTTAGCACCAGAAATGCAACGTGAGGTTGGTGCAGAGGGTCGGTTGGAGGGCAGGGGGCCTTGCAGCGATACTGGCCCCTGCTTCTGCCTCACCCTGTGTCTCCAAGGCCTCAGTGTACCCTGAGGAGGCTGGGCTCTAGGGCCCCTGAAGCCAACCCACAGCCCGTGACTGCTCTGTCCTACCTGTAGTGGCCTTGAACTTCCAGACACCTGGACCAGAGATGGATGTGTATCAGGGCCGCTTCCAGGACAACGGGGCCTGTGGGTACGTGCTAAAGCCTGCCTTCCTGCGAGACCCCAACTCCACCTTCAACCCACGTAACCCGGCTCAGGGGCCCTGGTGGACTCGGAAGCGGCTCAACATCCGGGTATGGCCAGCCAGAGAAGGGCCAGGAGCCCACGCCCCCTGCCACCTTCCCCCTCGGTACCATTCCTCATGCCCATCACCCTTCCGCAGGTCATCACAGGGCAGCAGCTGCCGAAAGTCAACAAGAGCAAGAATTCGATCGTGGACCCCAAGGTGACGGTGGAGGTCCACGGCGTGGGCCGGGACATGGCCAGCCGCCAGACCGCGGTGGTCACCAACAACGGTACGTGCCGAGGCGGGGCTGGGCCTGGCCGCTGCAGCTGGTGTCCGAGCTGCTGACATGCACCTGTGCCCGCAGGTTTCAACCCGTGGTGGGACACGGAGTTCGAGTTCGAGGTGGCGGTGCCTGAGCTGGCCCTCGTGCGCTTCGTGGTCGAGGACTACGACGCCTCCTCCAAGAACGACTTCATTGGCCAGAGCACCATCCCCCTGAGCAGCCTCAAGCAGGGTGAGTGTTTGTCCAGGGGAGGGGAGGGCAAGGGGGGGTGCAGGGCCTGGCGTCTCTTGGGCGGGGGTGGCTGTCCCTTGAAGCATCCTGCCCGAGTGACGGGAACTTTCCTTGTGTGCTCCTTCCCGCCCCCTCACCTGCCAGGATACCGCCACGTGCACCTCTTGTCTAAGAATGGAGACCAGCACCCATCTGCCACCCTCTTTGTGAAGGTGTCCCTGCGGGACTAGGCGTGGGAGCGGGCCAGGCCTCTGTCCACGGCCCAGGGCAGGGCGGGCGCGGCTGCTCCCAGCCTCGCGCTCAGAGCGGGAGGCCCGCACTGCCTTCGGCTCTGACACACTGTCTGTGCTGCTGCCTCTCCCCGGTCCTAGGAGCTGGCCTGGGCCCTGGATCGGTCCTCACCTCCGTTAAGAACAACACTGCAGCCCTCTCCACCCTCTGGCCGGCCCTCGGTTGAGGGTTTTTATAAAAATCTTAAGACTAAGTTCCGTGGCCTCTTTACCTGCACGCCAGCAAATTCCTGTAAGTGCGCGCACGTGTGTGTGTGTGTGTGTGTGTGTGTGTGTGTGTGTGTGTGTCAGAGCCCTGGAACCCCAGCACCTCACTCTCCTCTTCCCACACTCTCACTGTACTGAGGGCACTGTCTGTGCCGCTGGGCAGGAGGGACCAACCAGAAAGAAACCCCTCGTGGAGGAGGGGACAGAGAGGCCACCCCTCCAGCCCCATAGGCCCCTTCCCCAGAGGCGGACCTGCTGAGCGACCCAGACGTGAAAGCCCACGCACCACACCTGTGAGGGCCACAAGCTTTTATTGATGGGGAGGGGGGCTCAGGTACGCTCCGGGGAGTTCCCCGCGGGGCTCAGCCATGTGCGGGCACTGGCAGCAGCAGGGCCCGGGTTCAGAAGAAGCCGAGCTGCTTTTTCTCCTGCTGCTGCTTCCACTTGGCCATGCTGTAGAACTCCTCCTTGGACTTCCCAAAGACGTCTTTGAACTCAGAGTCCGAGAGATAGAACTGTGGGGGCGGGGGAGGGAGACGCAGGGAAGGGTGCCCCCTGAGCCCAGAATTCTGTCCCGCCCAGAGGTGTCATCCCAGGGCTCAGGGCTCCCCTCTCCCATCTCTCTCTGCCCATCACCGCCTCTGGAGCACACAACTCCCTGGACAGCCTGCCCACTGCCCACCACCAGGGTGTCACCGAGGCGCCTCCAGCTTAGTTTTAGGTGTGTGAGGGCGGGGGCAGCGAGTGGCGGGCGTCTCGGGCACCTACCTCCTTTTGGGCCGGGTCCACGCCCTCTGGCAGGTCCTTGGCGGCCTGGTACATCAACTGTTTGCGGGACAGGTACCCGTTGGCCATGGGTCCGGGGCTGCTGTGGTAGCTGTTGGTGCTGGTGCTGGTGCTGGTGCTGGTGCTGGTGCTGCTGCCTCCCGCCTTGGGGCCCAGCTCCAGCTCTTTCTCTGACTTGTCCTGGGGGCCCTTGTGGGCCTGCGGGGCCAAGGAGCCTCTCCTGCTGTTGCTTGGCCATCTTGGCAGCCGGAAGTTGTTGACCTCCTGTCCATAGAGGGGACTCAGGCTGGGGAGGATGGGGGGTCGGCTCCCACGGGGCGGCCTCACTGAGTCCACTGGCCCTCGTGCCCCCAGCTGCAACCCCCGCCACCTTCCAGGGCCTGGCTCCTCCCTTTCCCCTCTGCCCATCCGGACCATGCCAACTGAGCGCAGCCCCGGGGGGAGGCCTGGGGGGCCCCAGTACTCACTACTGTGATCTCAGCAACAGCAGACACTACTTCCAGGCTGCCCTCCACCAACTCCCTGTAGGACTGGTTGTTCTGGGGGCGAGAATCAGAGTGGGGGTGAGAGGGAAGGGCACCAAGGGGACCCCAAGGGGCCTGAGGACAAGACCCGGTCTTCCCAACCCACAGGCAGGGCAAGGCCTCCTCTCAGTCCGCACAGGGCAAGCCCCCCCTCCCCTGGATAAGGGTGGGGCTGGGGGTTCAGACCTCACTCTCGGTCCACTTGTAGGGGTCCCAGGTGAGGAACCATCCAGTGAAAGTGGGGGGCTCATGGCCCTGCTTGACCAGCACGATGGGCGTGGCCGGGCTCCGCCCTGCCGGGTGGGTCTTCAGGTACTCCTGGCCCCAGGCCACCGCCTGCTCCTTCTGCCTGGTCGCAGCTTCCCCGAGCCACAGGAAGATCTGGGCCACAGAGGCGGGTGGAGGGGCTGCCAGAGCTGACCGCATCCTTCCCACCCCTGCCCATCAGGTGGTCTGAGAGCCCCCAAAGCACATACCAGACACACAGCAGGCTGGCTGCCAGGCCCACACACCCATACACACTCCAGAAAGTCACAAGCATATATGTGTCTACATGCATTCAATCCACACATATTCACTGAGTACCTGTGGTGGGCCAGGGGAGTCAATAGTGAGAGAAAATCAGACAAAAATCCTTGCCCTTACCAGAGCTTTCATTCCACTGGGGGAGACAGAAAAATATGTCATATAGCAGATGGAGGGAAATAAGGCAGGGAACGAATGCAAGTGTGGTGATGGTGGACAGAACATAACTTTAAATTAAAGTCAGGGGGAGCCTCACTGAGAAGATGACATTTGAATCAAGATCCCCGGGTGAGGGAGCAAGTCATGTGTATGTCTGGGGAGAAAGTGTAACCAGAAGAAACGACCAGTGCAAAGGTCTGAGCCTGCCCGGCATCTTCAGCTGAGGAGCAGCCCAGAGGCCACTGCGGCCGAGGTGGGGTAGGCACGTGGTGGGGGTGTATGTGTGGCCATGCCGGGCTGTAGCAGGGGCTTTGGTTTTGCTCCGAGTGACATGGAGGTCTACAAGCCTCATCACACTCACAGAGTATCATAGACAGTGGCCGACACACACACAGGATCACAGCTACACAGACACAATTATCCATCGCCACCGTCAGACGGCCACCCACTGTCACCCATAGTCACACCCAGTTGCGCATAAAAACAATCGCACTCGATGACACAGGCACACACATCCAGCCTGAAAAACACAGGTAGCCCAAAACACGATTGCATATGGCCACACAGAAATTACCCAGCCACCCAAATACAGTCACTTGGTCACACCCACAGCCCGCCAGTCTCATACACACACAGTCTCAGTCGTGGCTGGTCTGGCCAGTTACAGGCAGTAACTTGACCACGCAGCCATTCCACACAGCCATATACCCAGAGGCAAATGCATCTCACATCACACATGGTCAGTCATTCAATTAATTGACAGTTGCTCACTTGACATGGACACATATCAGCCCCAGGCCATCACCTGGAGCCACATACCATTTGAAGGCAGAGGGACTTACACAGAACTACAAAGCCAGACACAATCGCACACACGTTCCAGATCACAGTCATGGTCTCCCAAAGGCTGGCTGTGACAGTCATCCATGGTCTCACACCCTTGGTCACACAGTCGCACACTCAGTGTCACAGTTGCACAGACTCACCTGCTGCCTTACGTGTATTCCTATGGTGAGGAACACACCAGACACGCTCATACCCAGTTACACAGATACAGACACATCCCAGTAGGCCAGGGGTGGCCGCCTCACCTCTTGCCAGGCGTCTAGTAACATGACATCATACTTGTCCAGGTCCTCCTGGCTGAAGAACACCACTTCCATGAGGACCAGGTGGTCATGCTGGCTGGAGCACTCAAATAGCCGGGGCTGGAAGCCGGAGACGTCCTCGGGGAGGCTGGCCAGTGTGGGCACAAGGCTGTGAGGGGTACGGCCTGGGCCGAGCTAGCCTTCAGCACAGGGGCTCCTACCCCCGGGGCTGGCCCTCCTCTGAGTCCACCCGCCCTGCTCCTCTCTGGGCCTCGTGTCCCAGTCTGTCAGTGGGGAAAGCAGATTGGGTGATTGTCTAGCTCCAGCCAGCTGTGGCACAGCTGTGCCATGAAGTTTCCCGGGAGTGGGCACCAAAAAGGGATGCTGGCCGCGTGGGGTGGCCTGAGCTGGAGCCCTGCTGTCCTTGGCAGAGAGGAGCCCCTGGTCCCACCCCTGGCCGGGATCAGCCTCAGGCCCAAGGCGGGAGGAGGGAAGTTAGGCTGAGAGAGGGGGACAGTGCTACTTAGGAGCTCAGGAGACTTGGGGGAGTGAGGGGCATAAACCGGGTCCTGCAGACAATACAAAGGGCCCAGAATTCAGCTCCCTCCTCCCTGATACACACCCTTGTGCACTTACACACCACACATGTCCACTGTCCTTGCACACTACACACACACACACACACACACACACACACACACGCACAGCCCCACCCTCCTGGGGACTGTGGGGTTGGGGAATGGCTTCTGCCTCTGGTCCAGGTCTGGGACCATGCAGGGAGCACATTCAACCAGCAGAGGGCACCACTGCCCTGCCCGCCCTGCATCTTCCAGATGCAAGTTACCCAGGGCTGGGGAGAGAAGTGGGAGGGGGGCTGTGCTCCTGGGACCCCCTGGGGTGGGGAGCCAAGAGTCCACGGTTCTAGTCTGGCTCCTCCAGCTCCATGTGTGACCCTTAACTAGCCCGCCCTCTTTGGGCCTCAGATTCATCCTCTGTGTAAGAACCACCTCCTCCCCACCCTGTCACCTTTTGTTGCTGGGGTAGGGGGCCCGGCCTCCCAGGGCCTCCCAGAAGTGGGGAGGCTCCTGACCCTCCAGGACTGTTTCCTTGTCCTCCTCGTTCTCAGAGATGACGGTGACTACCCTCCGCGCCATCTCACGCTGGTCCCCGCTGCAGCCCTGGCAGGCAAATAGTTGGGTCAGGCCCTGCAGGGGAGGGGTCTTCGCCACCAGCCCCACAGCCGCCCACTCACAGGGGCCCGAGTCACAGGATGCCTATGCTGATGGGGGAACAGGTGCGAACAAGGGATCGCTCTTCCTGCCCCCCCCCCCCCGCCCGCCCCCCCCAACAGGATCACAGGGGCTGGGGCCTTCTCTGGGTCCGGAGCACGGGCTGGGGACTCCCAGGCTTGGGGGTCATTTATGGTTTAGGCTGAAGATCAGAGAAAATTCTGGCAAAGGTCTCCTCCTTTTCCCAGGAGACGTGAGAAGGGGGAGGCTCCCTACTCCAGGCGGGAGGGAGGGGAGGCAGCCTGTGCAGCCCCAGACCCTCCTGTCACTTGATAACTTCCCCCAGGTTCCAGAGGGGACGCATCTCCCCCACCCCCTCCAGGCCCATCAAAGGTTGGACAGAAGTCTGCATCCCCTGGGGAGGGGCCCCATCCCTGCCTGGCACCCCTGCCCGGGGCCCGAGTGGTCAGTGTTGGTGGTACCTTCCCAAACCAGATGTAGCAGATGCTGGCTGTGTCCAGCAAGAAGATGTCACTGGAGTTGAGGGCGGAGGCCCGGGCCGGCACCTCCATGGTCCTGCTGTTGTAGTTGTCGGTGCCTTGCACGTGGAACAGCCTCGTGGCGGGTGCTGGCTGCCCCTTCCCACTGTGCTGGGTGCTCCCCTGCAGGAGGGCTGGGCCTCAGCTTGGCAAGGGCTCCCAGGGGCTGACCCAGCAGGGGACAAACTGCCTCGAGGCCCAGGGACCACTGTTTTTCTAGACCCTCTGGGTGTGGGGTGTGAGGACTCCATTGTCGAGTGTAGAAGAACCAGGCCTTTCTCAATGGATCCCTCACCCCATCTCCAAGGAGTCAGGGCACAACATAGTCCCCCAGGCTTGCAGGCAGAAAGTGGGCACCAGCATCCCTCCCTGTGTGACCCCAGGCAAGGTCCCAGCTTTCAACTAAACCTCCTCCCCTGTGCTCCTGCTTTGTGGCTGGCTCTGAGGCCTGGGGGGAGAAACTTAGGCAGGGATCATCACCCGTGGAGCTCCTGGGCCTGGGACAAGCACCAAGAAACCAGAGTGGGGGCGGGGGTCAACTGGGCCCTGGCCTGAGAGGGGATAGCATGTAGATAGGAGGGTCGCCGGCCCAGGGAGGAGCCATGAGGCTGTGGCCACAGCAGCAAAGGTGGGTCCTACCTGGAAGACCACCATCTGGCCCTGGAAGATGGCAAAGAAGTGGGGGGGCTCGTTGCCCATGGTCACGTGCACTTGCACCAGGGCTCCATGGTACATGAGGTCCAGCTCCTCGGCGTTGCCATTCAGAGCCGCTATCTCCTGTTTGGTGGCCTGGTGGCCCTGCAGACAGGGGGTGGGGGGTGGGGAGGGCCTGGAGCAACTCTTACATCCCATTCTCAGATCTTCGGCTCTGAGGCTGGGAGGTGCCTGCCACCCCCCTGGGGCCTGCGCACCTGCCACAGGTACAGGATGTACTGGATGTGCCCCATCCTCTGGTATGTGTAGAGGACAAGGTAGCAGTTGCCTGCACAAAGCTGTCCATGGAGCTTGGGGTCCACGGGCTGCCTGCCTAAGTCCTGGATGCACCACACCTGGGGAACAGGGACCAACGGACACAGGTGGCTCCTCCATCCCAACTCACCCGGTGCCTGGCCAGGAAGCTCTCAGCCTCGTCTGTGCAGGCAAGGGGCTTGCCCCCAACTCTGCACCCACCCCATGCTCTGTGCTGGGCTTGTGCAAGGATCTGCAGGTCACCCTTTCCCCCGTGGGGCCCTGGGACCCACCACACTTGTGCCGGGCTGTTCTCAGCCAGGAGTCTGAGGACAAACAAGTGGTGAGGACTCCAGAGGTTGCCAAGGCTGACCTGCCCCCTGCCCCACACCACCCGCAGCCTGACCCCATCAGCCACAGCACGGGTTAGGGGTGAACAGGTCCTGGCAGAACTGCTCGCTGCTCAGGTCAGGGCAGCGGAAGCTGGGCAGGAGCAAGGCCTTAGGGCTCTGGGAAAAATTCCCTTTTTCAAGAGTCACTTGAAAACACAAAGCCTGTTCAAAGACGGCAATGAATACACTTCCTCACACTTAACAGAGTGATTTCTTGTTCCTGTGGGTAGTGAGCACGGGCTCTGGAACCAGGCAAACCTGGTCAGATCCCAGTCAGCCTAGGTGAGCTTCAGTTTTGCCCACCCGAAGGTGGGGCTAACAGCGCCCACCTGGACAGGGACAGTGCCCGGGCATCCTGTGCCCACACAGAGCCTGACAGCTGCCACTGGGAAGGTTCCTCAGACCAGAGCATCCAGAATCCTGCCTCTTGCAGAGAGGCTGACGGTGTGTGACTGTGTGTTGGGGGTTGGGGGTGGGGGTCTATGATTGATCATGGGACTGTGGCCCTGTGTGGGTGTGTCCCTTCGGGTTCATGGTTGTATGTGACCAATCCTGTGTGATGTCGAATTGGTGCAGTTGATTCTTGCCGTTGTGTACTGGGTTGTGATTAAGTGCAATTACAAGGTGTATGTGTGTCTATGTTATCAGAGGTCTGGCTGTCATACCTATGACCCGAGGGCACAAGTATGAGTGTTATGTGAGCGAGTGGCCATGTCTGTGAATGAGGGTTAGGCATGACATGAATGCACTGTCGGGAGGCTGTATGCATATGTACCCACGCCCCTGAGTGTCTCCTTTTGTGTGTAGATGTGTATTTGAGAGTAGCGGGATCGCTTTAAGCAGCCATACTGCTCACCTGAAGACAAAGCCTCCCCCCTGCTGTGTGCCCATTTCCCCCTGTCCTCGCACCCCCCCAAGCCCGTGCCCCTCACCTCCACCTTCCCAGAGCCGTCATCCACCATCCTGAGTTGGGCGGCTAGCTCAGGTTGGCTGTGCAGCTTGACCACGTCCAGCTTTACCTGATTCAATTTACCTGAGGGTGGGGCACAGGGTGTTACAGGCGCCTGCTGCGCTGTCCAGGCCCCACAAGCCCCCTCATTGGCCTCCACGTGACCCACCCATCCTTCAAGAGGCCTCCTCCGGCCACGCCCCCTCACCCATTCTGCCCAGGCTCTGGATGCCGCCCTACAGCCCCGCTCCCAGGCCCCGCCCCATCGGCTATCCCGCCACAGGCCACGCCCACAGGCCACGGCCCCTCGCCCAACCCCCGCAGGCTCTGTGTGAAGCCCCTAAGCCCCGCCCCTAACCACGCCCACAGCCCCGCCCCTCCCACTCACGGATCAGTCCCAGGTTCTTGCTCCTGGGCTGCTCCTCAGACCAGGTCCGGAAGAGCTGCTTGAAGGCGGCGGACTCGGCGCCCTGGTTCAGCACCTCCACGTTGGTGTAGGTGGGGTAGCCCTTGGCCTGGATGAAGCCCTGGGGCGGGAGCCAGGAGGCATCCATGTCCGAGGGTCCCCTGCTCCCCCGGCTCCACCCGTGAGGACCGGCCGCGCAGGCTGCAGGGCCAGCCGAGCCCTGAGCAGCAGTCGTTAACCGAGCTCATGCCCCGCTTTTCGGAGCTGGCTCTGCCGCTAGCGACTTCTCCGAGGTCTCTGAGGACACGCAGGGTCCCTTAGGCCCGGTCTCAGGAAGGCCCCGCCATGACAACCGGTCAGACCCCAGGTAGAGCCCTGTCTTCCCTCCTCGAAAAGGAGGGGGGGGCTCCTCAGACCTCAAGGCAAGGCCACATAGTGGGTCTCAGGAAGGCCCCGCCATGACAACCCGTCAGACCCCAGGTAGAGCCCTGTCTTCCCTCCTTGAAAAAGGGGGGGGGCTCCTCAGACCTCAAGGCAAGGCCACATAGGCCTTTGACACACGGTTTCTGGGGTGCTAACTGGCCGCCCCACCCCTCCCACATCAGGGCACCCAGGGCAGACCACATGCCTCCAGTTCCCCAGAGAAGGCCCTGTGCCCCCCTCAGACCACTGGGCAGAGCTGTCTCTCCTCCCTCAGACAGGGAGGTGTGTCTCCCGGCTTAGATCCATGCAGGGCCGTGTCCTCCATCAGCCAGGACATGGGTGTCTCCCGGCTTAGACTGCAGGGAAGGGCCGCCTCCCCTCCAGGACCCAGGGCAGCGCTGTGTCCCTCGGAGACAGGCCCCCGCAGCCTCACCTGAGCCTGGCTGAAGGAAATCGTCTTCTCCTGGTGGTTGGACCTGCGTCCCTGCCACAGGTAGATCTTACAACCCCCATGGTCCAGGATGTAGCACTCCTGGCAGCGAGAGTGGGGCTGGTCGGTAGGCGGTCCAGGCTGGGTAGAGGGGACGGTGGGGTAGGTGGGGACAGATGGGGTGACTGGGGCTGGGCCTGCCTCACCTCCTCATGCAGTAGGTCTTGGGTCAGTAGGCGGGTCGCCAACTCCTGGATCACCAGGTCCTTATCCTTCTGGTAGATACTGAAGGGCAGGCATCCAGATGTGGTCAGCTCAGCCTCCAGCTCAGCCTGACTCCACACTGGCCACATCCAGCCCCCGCTCCCCCGCCACCCCCCTCCACCTCGACCCTGACCTCCAGGCAAATGCATGGAGGCTGTGCCTTGAGGTGAAGTCTTCATTTCACTGCAGCCTAGCTGTAGAGCCTTAGGCGACTACCGGGCCTTTTCAGGGCCTCAGTCACCCTGTCTGTACAATGGGTTTCTCTAAGGCAGTTGCATAAGAGTATAGATTTGGCCCGAGGTCCCACATGGCCTGCCCCAGAAGCCCATGAGCCTTTCCTGGAGGGCTTTCTGGGACCCTCTGCTATTGCTGTTACAGCGGGCATGCAGGCCTGGCCTATTCTACCCGCCCTGCCCACTCCCAAGGTCTGCTCACTGGTAGAGGTGGACGCGGGCCTTCTGCAGCTGGTTAATGCTTCTGCTGGGAATGGCGGCGTACAGGCTGCCCAGTCTGCGGCCCAGCACAGTTTCCATGATCTCCATGAGGCCAGAGGCTTTGGCCTCATCTTCCACCACACCAATCTGGGCACGACCAGCACGCTCCCTGTCCTGGAGGCTGCAGGTCAGGGCCAGGGCCTGCGGGAGAGGGCCTGGCAGTCAGGGCTTCCCAGCATGCTCCTCACCCTCCAGACAGCATCCCAGGGCCTTCCTGTCACCGCTCCACTCCCAGGGGTGGGGGGAGGGTGTCCTCTTCTCCTGGCATCCAGAGGTACCACCAGTGCAGGGGCTGGACTCCGCCCACATCGAGTAGTTGCTTTTCAGGTTGGAGCCGAGAGCCAGGCTGGAGAATGGGCCCTTGGAGGACCGCCCCCCCTCCCCACCTCCTGCACCCCTGAGTTCCCAGGGCAGACACTGACCCGTGCCTTCTCGGAAATGCTGCTCTTGGGCCCGTTCCACTGGATCATCACCTTGCCCAGGTCCAGCAGGAAGATGTCGTCCTTATTAAAGCTTTCCCAGGAGAGCTGCACCTGCCAGAGCCAGGAGGGCAGGGCGGGAGATGGGGTGTCAGACCTCCAGCCCCTGAGTGGAGGGGTTCCCCGGCCCGGCCCTACCTGTGTGAGCATAGCTTGGGTGTGTCACTTGTGTACATGAAGCTGTGTGCAACTGTACAGTATGTATGTAAGACCATGACACTACTATTCTGGTGTGCAGGCATCCATCTGTGTAACCATATGACACCCCGAGGGCCACTCTGTGGCTGTGTGCATCACTAGGCACGGGTGGCTGTAGGGAATGCTGCATTTCACAGGGTGGACATGACTATGACCCTTTCACTCAATGCATGTCTGTAGCTGTATGTGCACACATGTATGCAATTCGGGTGTGCATGTTTACCCATGTGTGTACATGCCCTGGTCCATATGTGGGGAACACAAAATATGAACAAGTGTGTGGGCTCATGGGTGACAGTGTCCGTGTGTCTGTGTGGGGAACAGTGTGTTATCTATGGATAAGCATAGTTATCATCCAGAGAGTAAACAATTAGTCCCGGATAATGGGCAAAGACTGGGGCTGCATAGTGTCCCTGCATGAGCGGGGATGTGGGTCACTGAATCTGTGGGGGACAGTGTGTGAGCCTGTGTGGGATTGTCTTTGAGTCACAGGGCTGCCACATACCATGTAGGCATTAACGTGTGCAGCTCAGGTTCATTCCCATCATAGACATCAAACACCTGAATGCTCATTACACCAGGCTCCTGCCAGAGGACAGCAGAATGCCTTGTTCTGCAAAGATCAGTATTTCCCAATACTTTCCAGACAGATGGACGTAAGGGCACCCAACGGACTAGAGTGGCCCCAGGGGAACAGTGGGAGACAGTGTGTGTGCCTATGGGTGACAGTGACAACGTGTATGAGAGTGTGGGGCTGTGTACCCCACCCCAAACCATGCTTCTTCCCCTTGCACTGCCTATAAGGACCTTCCAGGTGCACCATCCTGTCTGCCTCACCCCTCTCCCCACCCCACTTCTTAATATGGCCACGAGATGATGAAGAAACTGAGGGTTACGGGAGCCATGGCAGGGGTCCCCACCCCTAAAGCCTGGCTCTGCCTTCTCTTTTCTCAATCAAGATAGGCCTTATCAGTTTGTAAGTTACACACATGTCTGATCACTATGTTGAACACCTGAAACTAATATAATATGTGCGTCAACTGCAATTGAAAAATAAATTTAGGAAAAAGATAGCTCATCTGGGAATGATGACAGCCCATGGTCCCCCTTCCCCCATCCCCTGGCACCCTCCACAGTCCCTATGCTTCAGTACACAAAGTCCGAGCTGACCCAGAGGTCCATGGCATCCCTGGTGTCCTCACCTCAGTGGCTGATACGTGCTTCTTCCCTTTGATGCGCAGCAGTCGCCGGATGTTGTACATGTTGGTCTCCACATGCTTGAGGGCAGAGGCTAGGCCTCCCTTCCTGTAGCTGAGGAGGGAATGGGGTCCATGTAAGACATACACTGCATGTGCAGGAGTGAGTGCAGACATGAGCACGTGCATGCACACAAGTGGGGATACACATGTGCTTAACACACGTGTGCAAGTAGACATGACCATGTGTGCAAGCCCATGGCCACATGTGGTGCAACAGTGTGTATGTGTTTATCCATGTGTTAATATGTGGACACATGCATGCACATATACATGTATACCTGCGGGGGCATAATGTGTATCTGTTCATCCATGTGAGTATAGATGTGAGTGTGTGGAATTCGGGCAACAACATATATGTGTGTAGGTGAACATTTCATATAAATGGGATTACGTAACACTTGATATATGAATGACCACATTTTACTTAGGTATTCATGAGTGTGTGTGGGTATGCCCATCTGTAGGTGAACATATTTAGAAGTGGCACATTTCCTGCATGTGCACGCACACACGTGTGTATGTGTTTATATATACACTATATGCATGGATTAGGTTCAATTGTATAAAACAAAAATGACCAAATATTGGCCATTTCCTATGGTTCAACCTCATATATTGCAACTATTAACTCAATACATATTGACAGCAAAAGACATGTTTGTACTGGGCACAGTAACACAAAAGCAAACTCAGAACATGGGTGTCCACTCCTGGGTGTATACCGAAGAGAAATGAAAAACATGCGTCCACACAAAAACTTGTACACAACAATGGATGCGAACTAAACTCACATGACCCCTGGGCGGAAGTAACTGCAGAAACAGTCGGATTCGTGGGCCTGTACCTCGCGGTGCTGCACGGTGGCGTTACCCAGGGTCTCCTGGAGGTGCTGCACGAAGGTGCCCGCCGCGCCCTGCGCCTCTGCGTCTGCCTTCTTTCCGATCCAGTAGTGCAGGTCCTTGGGTGTCCCCTGTGTGGCCCTCAGGCTCTGGGGGACCTAGGGCCCAGGAGTTTGAGGGGTGGGGAAGGAGCTGAGGTTCCAGGGTGGGGAGGGGCTGAGGGCTAAGGCATGAGTGAACACTGAGGTGAAGGCCCAAGATGTGCCCAGGGCCTTGGGGAGCGTGGGCAGGGGACCTAGGACGGGGAGGAGAGGGCTCAGAGGCCTCCGAGGCAGCAGCCCCTGTGGGACGGGACTCCAGCAGGCCTCTTCCCAGGGCGGGGCTTACTCTGCACCAACAGACTCCTCACCTGGGCCATGCCACCCCTCCGACAGACTCCCCAGTTCCCCAGTGCTCACGTGGAGGATGACGTAGCAGTGTTCCTCAAAGAAGTTCCCATAAGCCCCCTCGGGCACGGGCACCAGCTTCAGGTTCTGGGAGAGGAAGGTGCCTAGTGACAACTCAGGAGACACCCCCCCCCCCCCCTGGGGGGTGGGCGGGACTCTGAGTTGAGGCCCAGAGAAGCCTAGTTCCGGAGATCGCACCCATTCGGTGGTAGCAACGCTGCTGGCTGGCCGTGCCCCTCACCTCAATGATCCAGATGTGGAGGTCCCTGTGGCTCTCGATGTCTGGGAGGCTCCCGATGTCCATCCTAGGCCAAACGGGAGCCAGGAAGGAAACCAGAGCCAGAGTTCTCAGACCCTGGCCTCCAAGCAAGGACTCGCCCTGCCTACAGCTCTCCGAAGCACCCTCCTCCTAGCCCTTCACAAAGCACCCTCCTCCTAGCCCAGGGGTAGGCAAACTTTTTGACTCGAGGGCCACAATGGGTTCTTAAACTGGACTGGAGTGAAGCACCCTCCTCCTAGCCCTTCGCCTGCCGGTCCTTAGGAGGGCTCTATAAACCACAAACGCCCGTGAGCCAGGACAGCGACTGCAGAAGCCCACACAGAGGCCTGGCAAACAGGGACGTGGTTTGTCACCTGTGGGTGTGCCCTTGAAACAGGACTGAACTCTGTGGGCAGGGATGGGCTTTGGACACAGGGACGTCCTCGGCAAACAGACGGAGTTAGAACCAGGCCATGCAGACAGCCAGCCAGCCAGCCAGAGGATCTGCCATAGACGGTGATAGGTTTTGCAGGCAGGTTGCGGCTCTGCTGGTGAGAACAGAGTCTGAGGCAGGGACAGGCTCTTGAAATGAGACTGGATCTTATAGACACAGACATGCTCCGCACACAGGGACGGGGCTGCAACCAGGCAGAGGCTCTGCGGACCAGTAGGAACAGGCAAGGCAAAGAGACGGGCACCTGCAGAGAGGCAGAGGCAATGCGATGCGGACAGAAGAAGGCTCTGCACACAAGCACAGGCTCTGCCAACACGGACAACAGCTTCCTCAGGCAGAAGAAAAGGATGCAACAGGCACGGGTTCTCCCAACGACAATGAGGTCTGCAGCCAGGGACCGTCCCAGGGAAATTCCGACAGGCCGCAAACAAGCAAAGACTGTGGATGCCAAAAAAGACCCTGCAAATAGTCACAGGTTCTGCAGGAATGGGGAGCTTTGCAGCCTGTGGTTGGGGACAAACCCTCAAGACAGGGGGGCAGACTATACAAAGGACAGACTGCAGATATGGACAGGGAGGTGGAGCGTTAAGGTCTGCAAACAGGCAAAGCATCTTCAGTCAGAGAAATGTTTCCCAGACAGAAGCAGGCACTTGAGTCAAAGGCCCTTTAGGTGGCATGGCCAGGCTCTGCCCAGGTGGGAGGGTGGGGGTGAGGGTGGGGGATGCAGACTGGAAGCCAGCCTCCAGGGAGATGGGAGGGGCCTGGGCAAGCATTCATGAACTTGACAATGAGATCCCGGCTCTGAAAAAAGACACAGACACAGGCCTCTGGAGACAGGCCATGCAGATAGGGAGAGGCCGGCTAAGCCCACACAGGCTCTGCAAACAGACAGGCTCTGTATCAGCGAAAGCTCCTTCAGAGACGGGGGTTTGCTGAAAGCAGCCGACAGGGAAATGAGCTTTGTGGTCAAGCACAGATACCACAGACACGGGCTAGTTCTCGCCACACGGCTGGGCTCTGTAGAGGGCCCGGGTTCTGCAAACAGGGACAGGCTTTCCTGAAAGGGATGGGTTCCGGAGACAGGCTCTGCTAACGGGGACACGTGGGATTAGGAGCGAAGCGTGCAGGCGGGCACAGGCTCTGCAGAAAGTCACGGTGCTCCCAGATGGACGCAGTGACCCCGACCGTGATAAGCTCTTCGTAGGAAATAGGTCCTGCAAGCAGACGCCGTTTCTACCCAGGGAAACGCAGGCAGCGGCCTTGGAAAACGTCATGGACGGGACCAAAAGGGCTCAGGTTCTGGAGACAGAACCAGGCTCTGAAATAGAAACAGACCGTGAGGACGGACATTGTCTAGAGACAGACACTCACTGCAGAGGAAACAGGTTCTTCCGACCGGGACCGGCATTGCACACAGGCAAAGCTTTGCCAACAGGAAGTGTCTCTAGGCAGAAAGGCCCAGGAAAGGACCCCAGACAAGCTCTGTGGACGGGACAGGCTGTACACGCAGGGCAGCTTCTGCAATCAAAGCCGGTCTCGTGCTCAGGGAGATAGGGACACACTAGGAAGACCCAGGTTCTGAAAACAAGGCTCTGAACAGAAACAGGCTCCGCGGACAAGACAAATGCTCTGCAAACTCAGGACAGACTCTGCACACAGGGCTCTGAAGACGCGGACAGAGAGCGGGCGAGCGCAGGCTCAGCGGACGGGAGCCGGCTGGGCACATCGGGCACAGACACTCTTAACCCTTAAAACAGAACTGGACTTGTAAGAAGCACAGAACCTGCCAACAGCCACTTGAGTTCGTGCTCTGCGGTTCCCAGGAGAGAGAAGCGAGGAACGAGAGGTACCTGGGGAAGAGCGGGGATCTCAATCCTGTTACGTCTCAGCAGGTGACTCTCAACTACCCCAGGCTCCCTGGCACCGCTCTTCCGGAATCCTCTGTGTGAGGTTTGCTCATTCCTCCATCCGTGGAAGTCCTTTCTACATGGAACCTGAATCCTGCAGCTGCAACTTCTTCTTCTCTCTGCTGCTTTGCTCACCAGACCAGAAGTCGCTCCTTTCTGACTTTCTCATTCCTAGTGGCCCTGGCTGAACTCATCTCCCCGCCCCGCTCCACCAGGTCTTTCTTATCAGAGGGAGGGACACCCTTGGCCCTGTGACCCTGCGTGACCAGGGGAAGCCGTGGGAGCAGAGATACAGAGTTACAGAAGCAGAGGCATGGCGTGGCAGGTGCAAGGAAGCCAGCCCCGAGGGCAGGGCGCAGGCCCAGGAGGGGAGGGCTCGCAGTACCCTGGGGAACACCCAGCCTCTCAAAGAGGGCCAAGGTGGCCCTGGAAGGGGAGGGGGAGGAGAGGGGGAGGGGAGGAAGCAGGTTTTCTCGAAGCCTGGGACCCCTTGGAACACACTCTGGAGACCACGTAGCTGTTGGTATGGATTCCTGAGGCCAGGGGCTTGTCTTGTTTACCGCCTGCTCCCAGCTGCCTCTCACCCAGCAGCTAGTTGTTGAATGAATGAAACCTGTGGCCTGCGACTGCCCTGAGGGAAAGTGGGTGGGGAAGGCAGGTCACCGTGAGCTCTCACTGTACCCAGAACTGCTGTTGTAGCCGATGGCCTGCCCACGAGTGACCGGCAGACACGGTGACCGTGGAAAGAAGGTCTCAAGCAACAGAAAACGTGTGATGACACCAAGAGACAGGCACAGTGACACTCAGAGGTGATGGGGCAGAAGCAGCGACCAGTGATAGCGACCAGGGCACAAGCAGGCCGTGAGCAGAGGCACCAACTCTGAGCCGCGGGCCATGCGGGAGGGAAACAGTGACAGACAGAGAGACAGGAAGACGGGCTGGCCTCGGCACCGTGGGCACCACGGGCACCACGGGCACCACGTGGGACGGGGAAGTCAAAGTGGTGGCCAGGCAGTTGGGACTGGGCTGATTGCACTGGGTGTGTGTGTGTGTGTGGGGGGTGCAGCCTCATGCCTGAGCGGCTGGGAGGGTGCCCCAAGATCCAGTTCCAGCCTGGGGGGCCAAACTCTCACATAGTACCACCTGTGTTCAGTGGCTTCCAACTGGGTTCTGGGGGGTGGAGGAAGGGATGCTCAAAGGATGGGGGTCCCTCCTACCCTAGCATCTCCTCTTTCCCTCAGGTGGTCCCTTTCCCCCTCAGGGGTCCCTTTCCTCTCCACAGAGCCCGCCCACTCACATATACCCCTCTCTCCCCTAAGGCTCTCCCTTCCAACACCTCCCCTGAGTGGGGGACCCTGCCTATGTCCTCTCCCTAGACTGGAAGCCCCCTTCTTTTCCCTGGGGGCTGGCTCCCTCCACCCAGGGCCCCTTTTCTCTCCCGGATGCCCAATTCCTCCTCGGATACCCCCTGTCCCCCTCTGCCGTCCCCCAGTGCCCCTCCTTTCCCCAGGTGCCTCCTTCCATATCCCCTCCACCCACAATGCACCTTCTCTCCCCTGCCCTGCCTCCCCTGGCTCCCCACTCTCCCCTAGGTTCCCCTCCCACCCAGGTGCTTCCTTCTCCAAACACTTCCTTCCTTCCCCCAGCGCCCCCCTTTCCCTGGCACCCCCTCTCCCTACCCAGGCACCCACTGCCTCCTCTGGTGCCCCTTTCTCTCCTGAGATACCTGTGAAAGGAAGGGGGAGGGGTGGGGGTGCTGCCTGCTGGAGGAAAGGAGGGCCAGGCCTGGGTCCCCAGAGATTCAGATTCTGTGGGTGACAGAGACACCCAACCAGGTACAACTGCTACTTTCTTCCCTGCCAGTCGCCCCGGCCATGGCCTCCCTGCCCCGACCAGTGTTCTTACGTGTTGGGCTCCTTGCTGCCTCCCAGTTCTGCCAGCCCCTTGGCAACCCTGAGCCTGTGCCCCCACAGTGCACACCCCTGACTCAACCATCCACGCCAGTTCTCCCAAGGCCCCGGCCCAGCTGTGCCCCGTGCCCCCTCCCGGCCAGGCCTACCTGCTGGGAACTCCGGGCAGCTTCGCCCTGCCTGCGGGCAGTGCTGGGGCTGGCACAGGGCCGGGCTCTGCCCACCGCTCCCCCTCCGCTGAAACTCAAGCCCTGCTTCCGCCCTGCAGGACACACCCCATCTCTTGGGGGGCTGGGCATTCACACTTGGTCAATCGGTGTGTCGGTCAACAAATATTGACCCAGCTCTCTGAGAGCCCACCCTTCCTGGGGCGGGGGGGCAGGTCAAGTCACACGCCCTGGTGCTGGGGGCCAGAGAGCAGGGCATGGAGGCCTGCGATGGGCCAAGATGTGCATGTGCAATACACTGTGACCTCCCTCCTGAGAGCCCAGGTGGGCTCTGACCCCTGACCCGGAGGCCAGGCCACCCCAGCAAATGGTAGGAGGCAGCAGGACGAAGGCTGGAGGGATGGGGTGGGGGGCAGTCAGGCTCCGTGACACCCAGGTCCCTGCAGGAGGTCAGGGGAGGTGGCAGGGCTCTCTGTAACATCTCTGCTGTCCTCCCCACCCCCAACGTGGGCTCCACGCCCGGCACAGCCCTCCCAGGAAGCCCTGATAGCCATCGTGGGAGAGGCTGGCTTGCCCTGAGAGAGATGACCTAGCTCCCACATCCTGGGCTGCCCCTGCTTTCCTTCCCGATTGGGCGGGGACATGACCCCCTTGGTCCCACTGACCTCTTCCCGCCCGCGGCCCCCCCCAGCCCTCGCCAGGCGGGTTCTGAGGGCTCTCGCCCGCTACTTTGTTCCTTCCCGGCTCATCTTCCCAGGCCCAGCCCGCGAAGGTTAACACTGGCAAAGCGGCTGGGTGCCCCGGCGTGGGCGGGGCTGGCTCCCAGGCCCCGCCCCAGGCCCCGCCCCCAGGCTCCCGCCAGTCTGCCTCCAGGGTTCTCTGTCCTGGCTGGTGCAGATCCTGCAGATCTGGACCCTCGTGCAGCCTGCAGCGCGGACAGGATGGGGGGCGGGACGCCTGACTCGGGTCCTCGACTCCACGCCCCGGCCCCAAGCCCGGGAGGAGAGCAGCCTTGGGCCCGCGTGGCCCCCTCCTCCCCCCCATCTGTCTGCAGGCTGCGGAGGGGCAATGACGGGGTCACCAGGGCTGTCACAGCCTGAGAGCGACTCCCGGAGGGCGCTGTGCGGACCTCCAGGGCCTGAGGTGGAGCTGAGCCCACGGGGCCTCCACTGAGGGCGAGTCCTCTGTCCCAATAGCCCTAGGTCCCTGCAAAGGAGAAGGCGTGGCTGCCCTGCGAACCTGTGACGGGCTGTGTGGCCTGCTCAGCTGTGCACCCACCCTCTCCAGACACAGCTCGGGCAGGAGAGTCTCAGTTCTGTTCCTGGGGACGGTGCCACCCCGTGCTCCAATGTGAAGGGGGGTGTCCATGCTGCTCCCCACCTCCGAGGAAAGGCAGGGAGCTGTTAGTCACGTGGGGCTCTTATCAGACTCCCCTTACCCCCCTCACCTGCCTTGGGAAAGCTTCTTGGACCCGCCTGGGTGTCCCTCCTGGAACAGCTGGGGGCGGGGCACTTCCTTTACTTCCTTTTTTTCTTCCCTGGCTGCATCTTTGAGGCCCAGGCCCAGAGGTTTGGGGTTAAGTGATCCGGGTACTTGAGGGGCCTGGGTTTTTGAGAGCCCTCAGGTGGTTCTAATGGGCAGCCAGAGCTGAGAACCACTAATGGAAGTTTGGGGTCGAAAACTCTGGGTCCCACAGCTTCCTCCCGAGGGTCCCGTGAGCTAGCCTCAGGGATTAGGCTTGCAGCCACGTAGTTTGGTGGCTCTGAGCCCTGACTTGCCTGGTGACCCATGGGCTGGCTTCCAGGCCCAGGGTTCTCTGAAGTCCCGGCAGGTGCAGATCCTGCAGATCTTGACCCTCGTGCAGCATGCAGTGCGGGCGGGGTGTGGGGCAGGGGACACCTGACTCGGATCCTCCATTCTACTGCCCGTTAAAACACCCTGGTCCCCAGCCCATTCCTTGGGCCTGCAATACACACTGGTGAGAAGTGCTCAAACAAACAAGTCAGGAGGTGGACTCTCAGTATGACCAAGTCCCAAGTAGTTTCACCGGCAGCCACAGTTCTCAACCATTTGTCTGTCTGCTTGCACGCAAAGGCGTGAAGCAGTCGGGGTGGGGGCAATGCCAGAAAGGGGGAGGGAAGGCGAAGAGAGGGCCAGGGAGCATAGCGAAGGAGTGAAGAGGGGCAGGGACACAGCCAGAGCCCAGCACAGGCTAGCTGTGGGGGGATTTTGGCTTTGTCTCTGGGTAACTGTTATGTTCCCTGGGCTGACACAGGCACAGCCCCTGTGCTGTTTGGGATGAGTAACTTGCCTGGTAGAACTCTGTATCCCTGCGACAGACAGAACAGAGGCCGAAGAACATGGGGATCACAGCATCTCAGCCAGGGTACCCCAGGGCTGTGGGTTTAGGCACACACAGCGCCGGTGGCTCTCAGGGGGCGGGGTGGGGGCTGCTTTTGGAAAGGGCTGGAATCCTTGAGAGAGGACGGTGAGCCAGATTGCTTCTGACAAGCGGGGGGCCTGCTATTGGGCAGCATGGGTTTCTAGCCCCCCCTCCCCCGGGGCCTGGGGCTCCTGAGATTGCGCAGAATTGCTCCCATACACTGGGAGACCCAAGGTGTTGGCACTGGCTGGGCAGAGGGTAGAGAATCAAGAATCGAGCGACAAGAGGCGCTACCGGTAGAGAAGCAGTCCATCCACAAGAGGGCGCAGTTTTGTGTTTATTTTTGGCAGGCAGGCAGGACATCATTGCAAATCCCTTGACGAACAAGGCTCACCCCTGAAACGTGCACATTCCACATGTAGTGTTCCCCGAGGAATGCTGGACTGCTCATCACATTCAAATGCCCAACAGAAACCCATGGCTACCCCGACACCAGCCTCCCCCCTAACTGGGGGGAGGGTGTTCGTCTGAGAGAAGCTCCCTGGAGAATGGAGTAGGAACAGACACCATCACGTTACAGTACAATGAGGACAGAGGCAGCCAGCGGGTCTTGCCCAGGTCGCTAACTGCGAGCGCTTCAAGCTGTCCGCGCCTCTCGCCCTGGCATGCCGCTGTCCATCACAACAGCACCGTGGAAAGCAGAGGCACCGACGTCACGAGTGTTTGACCAGAGGGCTGTGTGGTTCTGGATTTTATCAGCCATCTTTACAATGCGGGGCTGCTGTCAGACGTTGCCAGGTTATAGACTTACAGGTTTCTTTTTTTTTTATTCCCAAAGTTCGAATGCTGCAACCGTGACCAGCCAGTGTCATGAGGGCGTCCCCGTCACCTCCAAAGTCATCTCATCGAAATGGCACCACGTCAAAGGAGCTTCCCCACCGACCATCAGCCATGATGGGTGGTGTTCTTTCCCGGTTTTCAAACGTATTGTTGACAAACAGCGAATGGGAGAAACCACAGACCAACACGCAGGATCGCAGAGCAATGGAAGACAGAGCAGTAACAACCTCAGACATGCCTGGGCACCGCCACTCGAGGCCCGGCCCAGAGATATGGCAACTTAGGGGCCAGACTTCTCCACTGAAGGTATCCAGGCCCAGATCCTAGTGTAAAAAATACTTGTCCAGAAGACTATACGTTGACCTGGTACAGAGGAGTCATGGGAACCCAGGTCGTCAGATTTCTCTTTTGGCTAAAGAGTTAGGGATCTTTTGGTACCATGGGAAGGATATGGCACAGAGAAATAGCTAATCGGTTTCAATTTGGTTTTTAAAGCCCACAATTTAATAAAAGGTAATAATTAAAAACAATACCCGTATTTACCTTAGAAAACATAAACCCCAAACATTCATCTCATTTCTTGGCCTTATGTTAGAAATCTATTGCTTCATTTATAGGTAGATGATTAAAAATATATATAGATATAGATATTTATTTTGATTATGTACATAAAGCAGAATCAAGGATTAAAAATAAAAATGGGATTCTGGAGTGTGGTCCAATAAGGTGCACAGAATCCAGAACCCGCGGAGGGTGGACTGGGCCTCCCGAGACGTTCTGTGTCCGCGTGGCAGGAGCCGGCTCTACCCTCGGCAGCTCCGCCCTGGGCCAGCACACGGCAAGCACGATTTCAGGAACCACTGGGTAAAGTGTCTCCACTCCATCTGGCACTATTTCTAGGTTCTATTCCCCTGAAATATTCTAGAGTTTGTCCGCTCTGCCCTCCCAAACAAGAACCTTGTGGTGCCCAACGAAGGAGGGGGCGCAGGGGAGGGCCTGAGACTCATCAGGACCGAGTTCTGTGGGGATTTCAACACAGGACAGATGCTGGACTGAAACATTTAAGACATTTAAGGCAGCGGGTTCATTCAACGACGAGTTTTCCAAATCAAGGTATATGGCACGGGCAGCTCTGCCACGTCCCTGTCATCATCTGTGGTCTCGCCTAGCAAGGAGTTGTTTCTGTCTTAACTGCCATGTGGATTCCTGGGTTCGGAATACTCGGGGATGTTGGGAGACCTGGTTACCCCCGAATACTTACTTCTGAAAGCCGGGCAGGCCACAGACCAAAGTGCCGTCGGGAGGACGCGATTGGCAGCTGGCTTCCTTGTTTTGTGAATGGCAGCAAAAAAGAAATTTTACTCTGACACCCCATTTCCAGTCTTGTTGGTGCCGGTCGTCGCCCCCACCAGAACCCTGGCGGAGGCCCAACCCACAGAGAGGACTAAGGCACCGGTGCCGATGCGCGAGGGTTCTTTATAAATGATGTGTCAGAGCCATGCTTTATAGACTTGTTGTCGAACAAGGAACATGGCACTGCTTGAAACATCTCACTGGGAAAGGCTGCGAAGGGAGCCCCAGCGCGAGGAGGGAGCCCCCCTCTCCCCGACTCAGGACGGTGAGCCCCACATCTAGACAGGCTTCCCCAACCCCCGGCTCAGAGATAGGCTGTGCTTCAGGAGAGAAGACCAAGAGATGGCCTTGGGCCACATCAGCGTGCTGGGTGGCTGAGGCCACCGGTTCTCAAGAGAGAACAGGCAGCCTATCACAGGGTCGGATGCCGACTGCAGTTAAAAATGAATGAGCACCGCCCTGGGGTGGCGTGCTGGCCCCCTCTGTACCCTTCTGAGTTCCCATGGCCGGTGCCGGGGGAGGGGTGCAGGGGGTGCAGCCTGCCTCGGGGCGGGACACCTGCTCCTGACCCTGTGGAGTGTGCAGCGTAGCAGTGAGCGGAGTCTGAGCATAGGCACAGTGGCAAAGAACAGTGCAACAGCCGCTGGTCAATTCCATTTGGTGGCAGCGCGGTAGCAGCAAAGAACATTCCCCAACAGCTCCATGTGTATCCAGCTTTTGGAAAGGAAAGATTTAAAAATCAATCAACAGATTTCTTTCTTTCTTAGATGCAAGGGTTTGAGATTTTTGGGGGGAACTGCTCTACCCCAAACAACAACACAAACACCAAACACAAAGCACACGGAAGTATGGCAGTCGTGTGAAAGCAGGAGTGGCACGATGCCCCCTTTTCAAGGGAAAAATGTGACCCCCCAAGACCCATCTGTCACCATCCAACATCATCATCATATAAAAGAATCCACTGCTCCCCAAAGTGTGGGGCCACACGATTGCAGACCCATCCCAAACGGGGGGCGGCCATGAACGGAGACGCTGACGCGTCACACAAACTCCCACCAGGAGCCTGGCCCTGCCCCCTGCTGGGAGGCAGCCTCCCGGACTCACTCCCATACCTCGTCACCCGCTCCCCCCCAGGTTCTGGAAAATTGTCCTCTTTATCTTGTTAGAGAATCTGAGATAATAAAAGACTAAAAGATGTCTGGAAATATGCTGTATAGAAAAATTAACTCTCAGCTTAAAATAACATTCAAAAAGGCACTTCATCCTCGAGGAAGGAGATTCTGAGTTGGTCAGCTGCTCCGAGCTGGGGTAGGAGGAGGCAGGTTGTCTGCGGGGAAGGGAAGACAGTTGAAAGGAAGTCTGATAGATATCAAGCTTTTTTTTCTTTTTTCCTCCTTTTTTCCCTTTTTGGTATGTTTTAAGAAAAGCAAATCCAGTAAAATGCATGTCCCTTTAGGAAATTCGTTAAAAGAGTTCATTTTAAAATAGTTGTTTCTGTTCTTTAAAAATAAAACAGGTAGGTATGGCCACGTTCACCCCGTGGCCCGGAGCACGGCGTGTCCTCACTTCGGCTCCCGGGGAGCGGAGGCCGGGCAGGTCCCCAGGGCTGGGGTCCGAGTGCACAGGGGAGGCGGGTGGCGGCCGGGGCTACCTATTGCAGAGCCTGTGCAGCATGCTGTACACGTCGTCCTCCCGGCTCAGGCCCTCGAAGAACGGGATGAGGTCCAGCAGCTCCGTGTCTGTCATGTCATCGAACCAGGACTGCACAGGCACCTGGAAGACAGGGCGCGGGGGGCAGCAGGCCTGCACCGGGGCTGGCGGCTCCCAGCCTGACCGGGTGCCCGTTTTCTTACGAACATGCTCTTTGGTAAGGAGGCCAGGTACCTCGCCTTCACCACCACCATCATCGGTTTTGTTTGTTCCCCCGCCCCAACCGAGACCAACCCAAAGCAACCTGGTTGGGGGCACTGGCTCGGGAAGGCGGGTCATGGGGACCCAGCTCGCACACTGTGGTCTGTTCTGTTTTCCTGCCGCAGAAAGGGTGGCCGGAGCGCAGAATATGTGAGAACTAGCCTTGCTACCTGCTACTCTTTCCATCCAGCCGACTCCTTGTACCTCAGAGCTAAGTGTGTATAATGTTGGTGACATAATCACACAGAGAATTATTTCCAGTAATTTCAAAAGACAGTGTTGTCTGTACATTTCTCCCCCAAACCCTAGATGTATCCAATTGTCTTATTATTAGCAATGACATTAGTACTGCTCTTTTGAAATTATTAGGGATAGACTATAAAATAAATACAATATTAATGATGTTAGTATCTTTAGAAATCAAGAGTTTTAGCTTAAGAGGAGACAAATACAAAAAAAAAAAAGAGAAGAAATGAAGTAAAAACACTGGGAAAAACCCAGGTGAATTTATGATTTAGTTTGCACTTCAAAAATATGTATATTTTAGCTCTGTCCAGTAGAAAGGGCTGGAAGCAAAGGACATTCCAGTAACAATGAGAACTCCCGCTCTCTCGCCCCCCCATCCCCCATTGTGGTCTCCAAATACCCTCTCCACTAACAGGAACCAGGCTCCAGAGAAAAGTGGCTGATTTCAAGGCTGAAGCCAGAAATGGATAAGATGAGTCCGGAACATCCTGTTGTACCAGAAAGTAGGAAGCTATCAAAGACTATTGTTACTTGAAGAGGTGTCTACCGGCCAAAGCTGAATATGTAAGCATACAAAAGAGTGATAAATGGATTAAACTGTAACTATAAAAAAAATCCACGAGTTCATGATGGTACCAACAACAACAAAATATCATTGACTACTTTTGGAAGTTGTTAGAGCTCCAACTCATTATTCTGAAATGGTAGACTTAAAGACAAAGAACCGAGATTTTAGCCTGCCTTCCCTATTCAAACATTCAAACTGAACTTGAGGGTACTGAAGCAGTCAATAGGGGCAAGTGTAATTAAAAAAAAAAATTAGAATCCCAGGCAAAAAATGCAAGAGAAATGAAAAAGTGTAGA